CGCACTGGTTCAAAAGCTCCACTGCCCTAAATTTGAAATGCAATGGACGTTTAATAAAATATATAACTAGCTTACTGTGCCAGAGCTGTAAAATTTATTAATCTTTCTGCTGTTCTTGTTTTTCATTTTCAGCTATATTAGCAAAGAGAGTGGGAAGAAAATAAGCTGCTAGCATTTCTTCCTGCTCCCCCCTCCTTGGCTGGTAGACCAGCCAATACACTTTACAATGAAAAACAAGTTAATCCATTCTTAATAGCAAAACTCACATTGGAGGATGCTGATGGAAATAGAGAGGGCTTGGAAAAGTTCCTGTTTTGGACAATATGGTGTGTGTCCATGTGTTGTGTTTGAAAAACAAGCTGTGACCAACTTGTGTTAGTCAATGCATCATCCTTAATAACACCACCGGTGGCCATCGCTAAATCACAGGCTTTGGCCCAGAAATCTCAATGGCCCAATACAATCCTGAACTGGCAAGCCTAGTTGTTGTTGTTTATAGGTCCTTAGTCCTTCTGGCTTAGTACTGTCTTCTCCAATGATGGACAGTGACCCTTCAGGGCTACAGGTTGGCTTGTTTCCTAGGTCTGCTAAATGGAAGTGCCCAAGGGTTCAACCTTGGACCTTTGACATGTCATGGATATGTTCTGCCACTAAACTCTATGCTCCCTCCCCACTATGGGGCTAGAGGTGCTCATATTTGTTGACTAGGCAACACCTTGGCATTGTGGTTCTACCAGGTGTTGCAGGAGAACATAGTGAGATTGAACTCCTGAAACCAAGTTACATGTTCAAGAGTCCAGCCAGACATGTCCTCCTTGAAATACTCAGCCAGCCAAGCAAACACCCACATCGAATCATAGAAGTGACCACAAGGGACACCCAAGTCCAACCTCATTCTGCCATGCAGGAACACAGAATCAAAGCACCCCTGACAGATGGCCATCCAACCTCTATTTAAAAACCTCCAAAGAAGGAGACTCCACCACCTTCGAGGGAGTCTCTTCCACTGTCAAACAGCTCTTACTGTCGGGAAGTTCTTCCTAATGTTGAGGTGGACTCTCATTTCCTCTCGTTTTAATCCATGCTCTGGGGCATAGTCTCTGGAGCAGCAGAAAACATGCTTGCTCTCTCCTCAATATGACATCCCTTCAAATATTTAAAGAAGGCTATCATATCCCCTCTTAATCATTTCTTCTCCAGGCTAAACATACCCAGCTCCCTAAGTCTCTCCTCATAGGGCAGTGATGGTGAAGCTTTTAGAAACCAAGTGCCCAAATTCAGTAGCATTCTCACACTGAGTACCACTCAGTACCAGGGGAGGGGATTTCTGGGGGACAGGACTTCCAGGTGCAGGACTTTCCGCCTTCCGGGGGACAAGTCTTCTGGGGGGGAAACCCATGGCACACTCTCTCAGCCTCAGGCTAGCAGTTGAAGGGACGGGAGGGCAGGGGAAGAGGAGGAACAGGCATGCACTCCTATGGTATTTATATTGAAGTAATGGACAGCGCACATGGCCAGAGAGGGTATGCGTGCCATACGTTCACCACCATTGTCATAGGGCATGGTTTCCAGACCCTTCACCATTTTGCTCTCCTCTGGACATGCTCCAGCTTGTCAATATCCTTTTTGAATTGCCAATCCAAAAATCATACACATGATCCAGGTTTTCTTCCAAGCAATGCTCAACACTGCACTGTTACTGTACTGAAGCCACCATGTAGAGAATCAAGGTATACCTGATACATTGGACATCCTTACTGCAACATTTTTGCTATGGCTTGACCCCTTTAATGACAATGCAATATCGACAGCCAATAGCTCCTCACTACAGGGGTGAATAACTTTTTTTATTTGTTAAAAATAATGTATTGAAAACATTGTTACAAATTAGCTAATTGACAAACAATAATTGTAAAGCCACATCATTGCTGGAGAATGATTCACAGCAGTCAAAGACCTTAATCCGAATAAAGAAGAATGAGCATCACAAAAAGGGCCCACCAAAAGGAAGACCTTTGAATTTAATCCAGACAGACTTCTCCGGGAATTCCTGTGTGATGCTAGTGGGTCAACTCTACTACCTTTCTTGTGATTCATAAAACTAATGACAGAAAACCAAATATTTCTGTCTCTTTGTCTGCTTGCGTGCTTTATCTGATACAGTCATTTTCCAAGTAAGGCCAAATTCCAAATTCTACAGTAGCATAAATCTAGGTTTATATTCTTAATCACTTTCTGCTTGCCAGCAACTACTTGTCTGGCTGACAGCAAAAGGAAGGAGAGCAAGGCCTTGCACAGCACACATATCTCATGGGAAGCTTTGTGAGGCCCCTCAGTGACAGTGAAGGCTCACCATGGTCCCACAGGAGTATTTTTTGCCAAGCTCTGCACCAGTGAGAAAATAAAAAAGCCCCCAAGTCATGACATTGGCT